GAGAAGCTAGAAAACTGGAATTTTGAAGGGATGTTTCCTGACAGTCCTGGCGGCCAGTCTGAAATTAGCTAGAAGCATTTGCCGGAAAAAACAATGCTGTTAGCGACAAAAATCTGCGGGGAGCTATGCAAAAAACGCATTTTCGCACGGGAAGCCCGTGCGTTGACTAATAATTTGTATTGCTTTGCTACAACTATTTCCTTGCTAGCCTGCATCACAACAACCACCACTCACATATCGAATTCCCACTTATATATACACACACAACTTATATATACACATATACATAACTATACACACAATTTATAAACTTATATATACATAAACAACATACACATCTTCCTAGCTGTTAAAATGTCAAATTTCCCCTGAATTTTTACACGTGAAAAGTGACAATTTCGCAGTTATTTTGATTCCAAAAAAAGCTATCATTTCAGAACAGTGTTTAGTGAAAACTGCCTTTGGTATGACAGGCAAACAGTTGCAGTGATGAATCTTGAAACGTGAATATTAAAGTGGCTTGAGATCCCAACAAACTAATTATCCTACCAATAGTTATTTGAAACGTGTTGGACCGGATAGTAACTGGCTTTCTCAACAGTACAACCGTCTTCAGGCCTTAAGGATATTTCCACACACTAAAACACGGTCAGCAAGGAACATACTACCAGAATTAAGCCGAATTTGCACGAGACTGCACGCGGTTCTGCATGGTAGTACCCGAAGTGATTGGTCGGATTTGCACAAAAGTACCCGCAGCGAAATTCGAAGTCGAACAGGCATTGAGTATACTTCAATTAGTAGCTGCTCACCTGTGATCCAAAAAAGATAAATGCAACAATAGCCGTGACAACGGAGATGCTGAATATTGTACACATTGCTGTATTTGTAAATGTTTCATAAGCCAAAAGCCAACGAATGACAGCCACAGGTGCAAGCAACTTCAGCCAACCGAATGGATAGACATGCGGCTCGACGAACTTCAGGAGATAGCTGAGGATGAAGAAGGCGCCCAGTGCTGTACCAATGCTCGCCCACAGTACAAACACAATAAAGAATCGCTAAAATTATATATACATATATTGAAGT